ATTTGGAAGGGCTTTGGCTGAGAGTTCAAGCCCATGAGATGATGGTCAGCCTACAATGAGAAGCTGAAAGCAAGTTAGTCCTTTCTGGGTGGGATTCCTCAGAGCTTCAGGCCTTAGTATTAAGCACACTTGAAATGGAAGCTCATGTTAACTTACAACGTCGAGTCACAAAACAGAAGCAAGCTTACCTGAAAATATGAAGAAGTTAGAAAAACTTGTGTGGGACAAACAGACATTATTTATCGCTTACGGGAACTTCATTTCTAAATGCAAAACTGACAGTTTCGTAAAATTTGACCCTCAATTACTGGCTTAATTACAGGGCTTGAAAATCATCCATGACCAGAGCTTGGAAATATTAGTCTTCCCGACCATACCTGCTAGAATCACTCATGCAGCATGGTTACCGGGGGTGGGTGGGGGGCAAAGAGGTTGCATGGCAGACACAGTTCTACTCTCCAGCAGGCAATGAGGAATATTCCAGGGGGCTGTCACTGCTGCCTTTCTGCACCTATCACCTAGAAGTATTGTGGTTTAACACATGTAACTAGTTTGTACAACTAGTACATAAAGCACATTTTCTTTAATTAATATGATTTTTAATATGAAGGATCAAGACAGTAATATCAGCAGAGGCAGGTTTATAAGAAAGCTGCCACTACTGAGCTGGTTGACATGATTAGACATACTGGGATTTATAAACAACATTCTGGTGGAACACAGTTCAGTTTCCGAACAGGGCATAGCATGAAAGCAAAGGAAACAGAAGAGTGCTGAGACTAAGTAGGTCTCAGACCAGTCAGTACACCTGCATAGAAAGTATAAAGCTGCATAACCTGGAAAGTTATGTTTTAAAAATAGTCAGTTACTATTACTGTATAGTTCTAAGCCTCCAATGTAGTGAATTATATAGGTGCAATTATAGAAAGTACCTCTTTACTGCCCCTATTTCTCAGAAGAACTGAAATAGTTACATTTGCAAAGTTTTAAGGAAACTGAATGCAATAAGTCACTGACCTATGGTACAAAGTGTGCTCTTCCCAGACACTTCATCATCACCCAAACAACACAATAGAGCATGAGGCTGCAGCAACGGAAACAGTGTGATCATACAAACTAGTCCCAGGCACTGTATTTAGTCAAATGTCAAAACTCTAAATCAGGACTCTGTCCATCTTTGTGGTACCCATGGAGTGGAGCAAGTGCTCACAAGGCATAGCAGCAACCCCCATGGATCCTTCATATTGGAGATGGCATTGACTGGAGTAAAAATGTCAGAATTAAAAGGATTTGACGTGATTAAAAGCAGGGAAAGGGGAACTGAAAGTATCAATACCTTATAGAGAAGACAGATGAGCTGAGAAAGAGACTGACAGTTTCAGTGGGATACATTTCCCCAGGAAAGTGTGTGAGATGTTTATTTCACACACAGAGAGGGATAACCCAGAAAAAGGACACTTTACAGATTTTTCTCTGCAGATTCTCCAACATTTTTGAGATACAAGTGATGCCCTGGACTGGTAGTCCCCAGGTCATTGGAGAAGATACAAAATGTTGACCAGGTTGCCAACAGAGTAGCTGCAGTTGCCACTGCAAATTAGAAAAAAATGGGGGGAAGGTTTAAAAAAGAAAAAGAAATGCGGTGTTACTGCTTATTTCTTGTCCCCTTGAATAAATTGGATCAAATGCCCCCTTCCCCAATTTCTTTGCCCATGAATACACAGGAAAACTTTGAGCGGCCACTTGTGCACATCTCCAGATCTGATATCTCCCCCCGGGGATACAGGGGGAGCTGTGAAGTCAGCAATTTCAAATTTTTGACTCCGGGTGCAAAGAGAATAAAAGATCAATAGCACCTGAAATGTTTTCTCTCAGAAAACTCCAAGAGAAAAGCCAATTGTCGGGGAGGGAGGGAAAGCACACTGAATACAGCTGTGTGGAGGAAGAAGTTCTTACATATTTTGGTTCCCCAAAGTTGCCCCATAAAGAATCAGCAGGCCTTTCATGTGCACGCTATTTTGTTCAAGGGTGCTCATTTCCATTTCAAATTATTGTATTGGCTCTTCTTTTGTATTTACCAGTATTTTGGATATATTGTTCAAAAAATCATGCTGCAGTCAGCCTCGTGCTAAACGGCTCGATGGGGATGTAATTAATTATTCTCGCTGCCTTTTCAGTCGAAATGCTAAAAAGGATAGAGCGGAGACCTCCCTCCCTTTCCCTCCCCCTTTCTCCCCTCTGTAATCGTATACCAGGGCCCGCTTTATTGGTTCTAAGGAAGGGAAAAGAGGCACGTTTGCCTCCCTGCTGATACCGCGTTAAGCATGCTCACTTCACAGGCAGTGCGGATGAAAGTGTAATTGCACAGAAGGTGAATTGATTGCAATTAACCTCAGGACTTGGCCTCAGGCTGGGGTGTCCCACCTTCTTCCCAGGGAAGGTGCCATCAGGGGCATCACAGGCAGCTGATGAATACATATATCATAGAGTGTGAAGCATATACGTTTGGGGTGAAAGTACATAAATCACATGGGGGAAAAACATGCATGGTATCGAAATGCTCAAACTATAAATGTAGCACCTAAATCATAAGATTAGGATGTTGAATCGTATCAGGAGATATAAATTACAGAGTGGGATATGAAGGTCACCGAAAGGTGCAGCAACTAATGGACTGAGCTCCTGTAACTAAAAGAGATGGCTACTTTTTCTGTGAAACCCAGATGTATTGTGACAGAAGATCTGCTGGAAAACCATGAAGAGGGTGGTGGAAGTAGGGTCACCTTCCCTCCCACCTCGTTAAGAGCCAGGTCATTAGATTGGGTCTGGGTAAAATAAGCAGGCCCACTTCTTTCTGTAATTTAAGGGCACCTGTGAAAACAAAAATGTGGAAATGAGGTACACATCCTCCCATTAGGGTAGGCACTACATACAGTGACAGAGGACATTTTAAGCAAAGGTGCATCTTGGTTGTGGACAAACAAAACAGCAGACAGAGGAAACAGTAGGGAAAACCTGGCTGCAGTCTCTGGATTTTGTCCCAGTCTTTCTGGGACAAAAGCGATCACAAAACGATGGTCTAAATGGGAAAAATCCACTTCACGATGATCGGTTCCCTGCCTCGGGAACCGATGTTCGCATTACGACAATCTAAAAACAGCTGATTGTTGGGTTTCAAAATGGCTGCCGGGTGTACAAAATGGCTCCCGCTGTTTTTAGGAGTCATTTTTTGCTGTACAGGCACCCAAAAATGGCTGCTCTTATGGAGGATCTTTGCTGGACGGTGAGTTTTCAGCCCATTGGAATGCACTGAATGGGTTTCAATGCGTTTCAATGGGTTTTTAAACTTCGCTTTACGATGTTTTCACTTAACAGTGATTTTCCTGGAACGGATTATCGTAGTTAAGCGAGGCACCACTGTACAGTAATAATGCTTTAAGAACTACATTACAATTCTTCCCCATCAAACCAGACCTATGAATCATGATGTCTTCAGGAAGAAGACATCTTGTGAAAGGCTGCTTCCTCTCTGTTCTATTATCATTCTGCAAAATCTAAACCAGGGAATTCTGCTGTGAGGTGTGGGGCAGGTAGCAATCGTCAGGAACGTAGCAATGCAACATCTTCATTTGGTACTGGGCGATGGAATTGGATGGCTCAGCCTGATGTGATGCCTACTCCTATGTACAGTACCTCTGACCAATGGGGATGAAATGGCAGACTGAGGCAGTAGTATGTTGGTGTTTGTGTGTGAAGAAATGTGATTGCACTGGTATTGAAGGTAGCTGCAAACACTAGAAACCACAACCACAGACAAACCAGTCTGTGAGACTACAGCAGTGATGGCAAACCTATGGCAGGCATGCCACAGCTGGCACACAGAGCCCTCTCTGTGGGCACACGAGCCATAAGTCACCATAGGGAAATACCCATCCTCCGATCCCAGATTTCGGCACTCCCCTCTGCTGGTGCAGTGGTTCAGCGGAGGGGTGCAATGGCGACCATGACCGGTCTAACCCAATGGGGGACTGGAGGACCAGTAAGTATTTATTTGTTAATATCACCCATGGGAGGGGAGGGAACCAAGCATTTAACCCTTGCAGTGCAGGAGCAGTCATTTTTTTCTACACTAAAACCTCAGCATTCGGGTTTTAATTGCAGTATTGGCCCTTTGAAATAAATAAGTTGATTTTGTCTTGCAGTTTGGGCACTTGGGTTCAAAAAGGTTCACCATCACTGCCTAGACGCTCAAAGGCAGCCACTGCCCTCCAGCAGCAAATTTTGTAGTACCAGTGTATTTTTGCCATCTATCCATGGCATGGATCCACACGAATCTTATTGTACGCTCATCTCCAAATCATTCTGCATCTCCATTTTCTCGGTTGTGGCACTGGCGTGAGAGTGTACACTTCTTTGAAGTGGGATATTTTCTCCCCACTTGTACTCTGCAAGGAGCTGTCCATGGAGCGCTCATGGTGTTGATGATGAAAATGTGGCTTGCCAGGTCTCAAAGAATGAGCTGCTGAGACAGGAAATGGCTGAGCTCCCCTGAATCTCCAGGCCAGGCAAACAAATGTGAGGAGCAGTGGTGGAAGGGAAGGAGTGAGTTTCGTTTATTGTTATGGGGTGGCCATAGTGTTTGGGTACCCAACTCCAACCCTCTCCAAATGGCACCAGGGCTCACTGGCTTCTTGTGTCTGGCCAACACAACACATAAAATACTTGCTTAGGAGCTCAGACAGGGAACCCACAATGCCTAGGTCACTCCCACAAACATGCATGGAGAAATATTATGTTCCCAATACCTGTGACATCACAAGGCCCCACACCACGACTTTACAAAGACCCAACTCAGGCATTGGGCCCCAGATATAATGAGGGCATGGGGACGATTATCCTGTGACAGCCCCTGACAAACAAGACAACACTTCAAAACCATTCTGGAAAAATTCTTTTATTGGTTTTGGAAAAGAGGCTAAACGGGTATCCTCAGTGGAGACAACGGCCTGGTTCAGCTCCAGCAGGATGCCTGCCTTCTGGTCCCTCGCATCACCATGGGGAAGAGGAAGATTCAGGCCCTGCAATGGAAAGAGAGAGAGAAAACAACAACTGAGGAGCAAGCTCGTCCACTGCCGTCAACGGGCTTCAACCCAGGCATATCCACTGAATAATGTTCTGGTGACTTCATCCTGAAGTTCCACCTGCCAACATCCACTGGCTTCCACCAGGAATATCCACCCATTCATCTCTTCCACTCTGCTTCTGAAGCCAGCCTCTGCCAGCTCCCGAATGCTTGGGTCACAATCATGCCCCAGCAACATCCCCACGGAGCACCAGCCAGCACATTCACACAGACATTCACACAGAGTGAGAGAGACAGAAAGACAGACACACACACACACACCAGCCACCCCCTCCACACACACACACACCTTCAGTTCACCAGCCATTGACACACATGCTTGGGCTTCCATCCACCGATATCCACCAAGCTTCTGCCAACTTTTTTCAGGAGGCTAACATCCCCCAGCTTCATCCGCCAACTTCTGCAGGCCTCCACCTTGTGGCCTCAGCCAGCTTCCGCAGGGAGATTCCACCAGCTTCTGTCTGCTGTCTGTCCACCAACTTTCCCCTGGTCCATCGCCAACATCAGCCAGCTTCAAGCCACGGATATCTGCCAGCCTTGAACTCGCAAGCCCACTTAGCAAGCTCATCTGCTTTCGCGAGAGAACTTGCCTTGGGCAGAAGGGCTGGGTCCTCTGCAGCTGTTACCACCACTCTCTCTGCTGGGCTACCCTCTGGACACTGGCCTCCCTTCTGGTCTCCTGACCTGCCCAGCAAGCCCCCTTTTATCTGCCAGCAGAGAGGTGGGGCCCTGTGAGGTCACAAAGACCCAGGAGAGTGGGGCTGGGTTGTTTAACCCTTGCAGTGTAGGAGCAGTCATTTTTTCTACACTAAAACCTCAGCATTCAGGTTTTAATTGCAGTATTGGCACTTTGAAATAATAAGTTGATTTTGTGTTGCAATTCGGGCACTCTGGTTCAAAAAGGTTCGCCCATGCTACCACATTCTCTTAGAAATTGTGGATTTCAAGTAAAGACACAAGATGTTCCTTTTCAGGACTGCACCTTCCAGAATCCTACATGCTAGCTAGAGGATACTGGGAGTCATAGTCCCTAAAGTAATTGATCCAACTGCTGTTGTCAGGATAAGGAGAACCAGACTCAGGACAACTCACTCCATGCATCATCCAGGCAGCTGTCCGGTGAAGAGTGCGGCTGACCTGCTGTCTGTTGTACTTAAGCTTTGCCAGTGTTGCAAGCATGAAGGCAGTCCTCACTCAGTGACTGAAGTCAGGTGACACAAGAGTTTGACCAGGTCCTGTGAGGCCTATAACCTCGGTCCTGCCAAGGAGACCAAGATGGTGCCCCTTCCGTTCCATGTACAAAAGCTGGCTGGACCAGCTGCTTAGCTTTTCTTTAGCAACAATGTCAGTGGAATAGGATCTGGTATTATACCTGAGGGCAGTTTAGAAGTGCAGAACAGGTTGTACATCAAACACAATGCTGCCCTCCAAAAAAAGGAGGATGCCTAAGGAGCTGAAGAGAAACAGTTAGCAGGTTTCTTCCACATACTCTGAACATCGGTTACCTGAGGTGGTTGCTACATATGATAGATCCGAATCTGCCAACCAACATGCCACTTGAGACAAGAAATAAACTTTACATTACTTTATTGCTTACCTATTGCTTTTTTTTTTTTTTGCCTCTGAAGAGTTTGGTTTCCTTATAGAATAGCATTCTTCATATGCTGCTTTATGTTCCCTAAGCTGGAAGGAAGTTCTTTGCATGTCCATACATAGGAAGCCATCCGAGAACATAGCCAACATTGCCTGGAACTACAATCTTGTACAGAGATTTTACCTTGAACTATACGAGCTGGCATAGATGTGGAGTCTTGGATCCGTGTGAGTGTGCTTGAACAATATCTGGGCATAGCTGAAGATCCATATAGAAGTGCTAGATTCACCCATGAAATTTGTACCAGCTCCATCTTACTCTATCCAATATTCAATTGTAACTTTTCACTAGGGCCTGGCTGCCCATGAGGAAAAGTAATAAAGGCATTTGGAAAGTAGTTATTAGATGCTGGGGGAAATTGATAGGGTGTGCAAGAGCTGGCTAATTTAGTCAGCATGAATGTTGCTTAAAGTCTGGGCTTGCAGTTCCACGGAAGGAAAAAAAATAGAAAGGAGGCACAAAGATAAGCAAAACTGCAAAGAGAGAAACTAGTGTAGCTCTGAAAAGTACTGAGAACTAAAATTTATTGCAGCCTCACATATTCCAATTAGCAGAACCTTTCTTCAAACCACATTGCCTCGTTGCCTCTTAAAATCTTCAGGGGAGGCCCTTTTCTTGGTTCCACTGCTTCACAAGCAGGCCAAAGGTGGTACCATCTCCATCCATTCCCTGGCGCAGCACAAAGATGTCTGCATGCACATTTTGTTTGCTTGTCTGCAAGCTGAGTCATGGCAACTGGACTTCTTTCTTACTAGGCTGAAATGTTTCACTACTCATCCAAGTAGCTTCTTCAGTCAGACTGAAATCAGTCAGACAGGCCGTGCTACTCCCTAAGTTCTTCATTAAAATGAATCCTGTGCCCTGTTTTAATTGAACCCAGTTCCTTTTCTCTAGGAATATGTGACTAGGTGATAGTAGAATGTAGAATATTAAGAAATTTGGGTAGGGTAGCTTTCATAAGTGTGGATCAGAACAAGAATGGCACATGGACAGACAGCTGTTATACACACATTTTGGATCAGGACCATTTTGGCTGCCTGACTACCATTTTAAAATCTTCTCACAAATAATGTGGCAAAACAAAATGTCTTCCCTTCAAAGTTTACTTCAGTCTATGTGTCTGTGTGCATCAATTACACTGATCTTGAAATACAGGCTTTGAATGCAGAGACATGCTTGGCAATGTCAATGGAGAGTTATGGGTTGAGGCTGGTAAATCAAGAACTCCTTAGTTATAAATGGAGTATTTCATCCATTCCTTTTCTTTACTTATCAGCACAGCATAGGAAATGAATTTATCCTGTGAAAAAGAAGGTGAATTGGGTTTCCTTAGTCTGTCTTTCCTTCCTAGTGGACATATTATGGCTAAAGGCAAAGTTAAAGGGAAAAGTTTAGAACAGAAAGAAAAACTTCCCACAGGATAAAAAAAACAATTCTACATTACAAACATGTCTAAAATAATAATAATCATGGTTGCGTTTACTTTAAAAAATTACAGCTCAATTAAGAATTTCTAAAAACTAGGTACCCAGTGTGGTGTAGTGGATAGACTGATGGATTAGGGCTCAGGAGGTCTGGGTTCAAATCCACACTCAGCCATGGAAATGCACTGGGTTAGTGGAACTGGTAAAACCACTCCTTAAATATATTTCTTTAAAAGTCCCTTTAGAGTCAGTATAAGTTGATTCTAACATAATGGCAAAGAACAACAACATCTTCATCAAAATACATGAACCCGCAAAGTGTACCTACGCTAGACAATCATAGCAATTTGATACACTTAACTGCCACAGCTCCATCCTATGGAAATGCAGGATTAATAGTTTGTTGTGATATTTAGCATTCTGTACTAAAAAGCTCTCATGCAGTCTCTCACATTATAGCAGAGAATTACCCATTCCTTAACCAACAAGTCCCAGGTCTCCAGTAACCTAAGTGACTGGATGGTAACAGATGCAAATACACAAAATCCTACAGTAATTGGTTCTTCCTTGATTAAGAAAAGTGATCAAGTCCAATGCTGGGCAGAGGATCTCTGGTGCTGTACAGAAATGTGGCACAAAACCCTTTTCAAGGACAAGATGGTGATGGGAAGAGGCAATGACAGTGATGTCCCAAGACATTTTGCAACCTGAAATGAAGAGCAGCCCAGCACCTCCTTGTTCCATGTACGGAAATCCATTTAACTGGCAGTTTTTTTCAGCATAGGTTAGGGAAGAGCACCTGGAAGCACTAACCTAGCTTGGGAGATACATGGTGAACTGCACAGGAGGTAACATACAGTTCTCTCTTCTAAACATCTTGCTCTGCATTCTAGCATGTCCCACTTACTGCAGTCATCTTTGTCTGCCTAATGGTACAACCAATGTAAGGCAAAACAATCATAAATACTTTCTTTGTTCCTTACCTTAAGTCTGCAGAGCACCTGTGACCTCCATATTGCTGGCAAGCCCTAGTCTTGCACTGTCCAGAAGATATGGCAATCATGCCTTATCTTTTTAATTTAGGTGGCTCACTTTGAAATGTTCCAGGACCAATTTTCTGCCTTTAGGATTCAGCATGGGCTGCATCGGTTCCTCAAAATGCATTGAAGGAGGAATTGGACAAATGGGTAGTGACATACTATTTCATACCTTCCTAATTTTTTTTTCCAGCTGGCGCAAGGGATTTGTGGTATAGAGGGGCAAAAATAGCCTCAGTCGGTGCATGTCACCCGTTAGCCAAGCCCTCCTTGGCATTAGATAAAATCAGGACAAAAGATACACAGTTTCCTTTTACCGGCCCCTCTCACCAGATGCGTTGTTATACATCGCTGGCAGTGCAACAATTTCAGGAGGAGATCTAGCTGAGTTCCCATTTATCTTATGAAAGGAGCTGGCTTAAAAAGCAAGGAAGGCAGGTGGGCCTGCCTCTATCAGTGTAGGGTATCTACGGTATAACCACAATTATTTTATGAGATGATGCATAGGTTTCATTAGATGAGGTACACATTTTGCCATAATGAATATGCTCCAGCAAATGATCTATGCATCCTTTCTGAGATGTATGGGTTTCGCTAGAAAAGGTATGTGTTCATCAGCTATGAATAATGTTCCTATAACAGCGTCTTATAATAATACTTGACTGATAACCAGTACTGTAGTTGGTCAGTCCCTTGTGACCATGAAACCTAGCTGCAAGGATACATGCACTGGTGCTCTAAGGATGCGTGTTTCTGAACCTGCCATGTACTTTTATATGAAGGTCTGCATCCAAAGTAAGCACTTAGTTGCAGGACA